ATGTGCATGTGGGGTGTGGTCAGCCCATGTGATTCATGACAAGGCAGATGCTCTTGATGCCGATGCATGTGCTTTCAAGCACTACTTGTCACCTGCGAGTGAGTCACCCTAGTCGTTGCTCTATCCTGCCTTTAAGCCTGCCCACCAAGCCTTCCAGCCTGCCCACCAAGCCTTCCAGCCTGCCCACCAAGCCTTCCAGCCTGCCCACCAAGCCTTCCAGCCGGCCCACCAAGCCTTCCAGCCTGCCCACCAAGCCTGCCAGCCTGCCCACCAAGCCTGCCAGCCTGCCCACCAAGCCTGCCAGCCTGCCCACCAAGCCTGCCAGCCTGCCCACCAAGCCTGCCAGCCTGCCCACCAAGCCTGCCAGCCGGCCCACCAAGCCTCACTCCATGCTGCCTTTCCAGCTGCTGACCTCGCTGAGCCTATTTGTCTCCCTCATCCCCACTGCCTCGTCCTTCCAGCCATTGACCGCTCTCTGCCCTCCCTTAGTCCTCACTGTCTTGTTCTTTCAGCCATTGACCGCATTGACCCTCTTTGTCTCATACCCCCCATTAGCCATTGACCGCATTGACCCGCTTTGCCCCCATCCCAGATCAGGCAGAGATTGACCGCAGTGACCCTCTTTGCCCTCTCTCTATGTCCTCCAATGCCCCGCCCTTCCAGGTGTTGACCGCATTGACCAGCAGATGGAGGAGGGGCGGGAGAGGCAGAAGGCGGCAGTGAGGCAGCTTACGGAGGAGGGCGGGCTGGCAGGCCGCGTTGGGGAGGGTATAGTGCATGCCTTGACCACGCTCAAGGATGCAAGTCAATAGGGCTTGGATGGAGTGTGCGCTGGTACCATGTATTCTTACCGTAGTACGGTATTGGTGGCATTGCATGTGTTTTAGTAGCCAGTCTCAATGATGTGGTGTACATACTGGTCTCCTATGATATGTGTTCAACCATACAAATACTGTAATCCTTTATAGCCTCCATTCTCAGCTGTGCTGCTGCTTGCCTTCTGACCAGGCAATTTGGCACTGGCTGGCCTTGGGCTGCAGAAATAGGTACGATAGTTTATGGTTTCTGGTTTATGGTTTCTTTTTCAATTTTCATCACTCTGATGTTCAGAGTGAGCTCAGAAGCAAGCGCTCATTCCTCACCTCAGAAAAATGACATCTGAAAATGATACGGTAATGGGACTAGTTGATGAGATGCCATTTCTTCTAATGTTTCGTCGCTAAAAACTTTATTACAGTGTTATCTCACCAGACTCATGGGGCTCGGTTGGTCGCACCTGGTCTTGTTCTTGACTGAGGATTGCTACACTGTGCAGCACCGTTGCGGACATGACCCCAGTCATTCCGTCGACGTCTCAGGGCGCGTTTTAGGCGGTTTCGAATAAGCAGCCTCGTAACAGGCGATCTCTACTCGCCAATCAGTGTGCGTCATTATCACAATACTTGTTCGGGTCGGGAGTCAATTGTTACGAGGTCAGAAATGCGCCCTCATTCTCACTCTCTGTCCTTTGAGATTGCTGGATGATTGGGCCTTCCCGCTTCGCAGTTCGAATATCCCCTTCTGCCGCTTCTCTTCAAGCAACGCGATTGGTTCTGCAAGATAAACTCTGATTCGTCAAAGAGTTTCGAAGCTTTAAATGACGTGGCAGAGAAACATACAGCACCGTCCATAGTTGTTGATTGGTCGGAGAGGGCTATACTTGACGAGCCAGACCAGAGCCTTCGAAAGGTATCCTAGAATATTCCATCAAAATTATTTTGTAAGAGCCCCTGTTTACTATGCAATTATGTACGGTAACCCTGGGATAGATGATAGAGGGAACTGATTGGCAGTTCGCCAGTCAAGAGGACTTAAAGCCAAGATCTCAAGTAAAAGAAGTGCGCATCAACTGCAAAACAGTTGACGCTAGGGTCACCCTGTTTGAGTGGGCGAAGTGGAGTGACGGGTTTGGGGTTGACTGCGACACATTCCCCATTTTGCCCCTGATTCAATTGCAAAACAAATTGCTGGGGACTTGAGACTTTCGGGAATCTGAAACATTCTCTGGTACTTCAGCTTCGGCACCGAACCAGTTTCCGTGCCTAGAAGGCTTGGAAACAACCTGCGACTTGTTTTTTTCTCGCACCCCTCGCTTCACTCCTCGTCAACTTCTGTACCTCGCCATCCAATCCCAGCCTAGCACTATTCACCAACTGCAAAACAGAAAAAGTACTTGAGATCCCGGCTTTAATGGCGAGGGGATTGCTGATCAGAGAGGGAAACTATGGAACGGATAGGGGAGGGGGAGCATATGTGTCACGATTTTTTTCCCCTCTATCAGAGTTGTGTCAATTTGTAGAAACGGGTACTGTATTGGGAGAATGAAGAGCACTTGCCCTGGCATAATCTCGAAAACCCTTTCCCTAGCGCGCCGCGCGGGTCCTTTCTTGCTATCACAGGGAGAAGGAAATGCGATGCGATGCGAGGTCTTTTCTTGCAAGACTGGCAACATAGGCACGGGAGTGAGGAAATTTGGGGCGCCACCGCCTTGAAACACACATGGGTGCGCGGTTCGGGAGCGCGGCGTTGGCGATTCCCGCCGTCACGGCTCGCACTTGACTGCAACGAACCGAATCCAACCCCACCCCATTCCAGGCACAACTGCGAACAACAAGAAATGGTCGCCTGGATGAACCACAGCACATAAACAGGGGCATGTGACACACTGTTTCTCACTCTCAACAATCTCTCTCTCCGCAGCCTCACTCTTCCGCAGCCTCCATCGCTCCGTGGCTAGCTTGCACTTGCTAGCCCTCTGCAGTCGGCTCGAGTCAGGCAGTCGACGGAGTCGAAGCGTGAGCAGAGGAAGAAGGGCGCGGCGCGTTATTTCAGTCGGCATTAACCACTCCAACGCGTTACCATGATGAACTTCTTTGGCGGCGGCTCGTCAGAGGAGCAGTCGAACGCGAACGCTGAGGCAGGCGAGTCGTATGGCGCGGAGAAGCTTTCCCTGAATGAGGAGACCACGTACGGGTCTTCGGGTCAGACATCCGAGGGGTATGTGACGGAGAGGGTGGTGTCTGAGGGGTATGGCGCCCAGGAGAGTGGGGGGTATTCGGCTGATAACAATGCAGAGGGAAGCAGCGGGTACAACGCGGATGGCGGCAGTGGGTATAACGCGGAGCGGGGCAGCGGGTATAACGCGGAGCGGGGCAGCGGGTACAACGCGGAGAGCGGCAGCGGGTACAACGCGGAGGGCGGCAGCGGGTACAACGCGGAGGGCGGCAGCGGGTACAACGCGGAGGGCGGCAGCGGGTACAACGCGGAGGGCGGCAGCGGGTATAACGCGGAGGGCGGCAGCGGGTATAACGCGGAGGGCGGCAGCGGGTATAACGCGGAGGGCGGCAGCGGGTATAACGCGGAGGGCGGCAGCGGGTATAACGCGGAGGGCGGCAGCGGTTATAACGCGGAGGGCGGCAGCGGGTATAACGCGGATAGCGGCAGCGGGTATAACGCGGAGCGGAGCAGTGGGGATAATGCGGAGGGAGGCAGCGGATATAACGCGGAGAGCGGTAGCGGGTATAACGCGGAGAGCGGTAGCGGGTACAACACGGAGCGCGCCAGTGAGGACAACACCGAGAGGGGAAGCGGGTATAACGCGGATGGGGGCAGCGGGTACAACGCGGACGGGGGCAGCGGGTATAATGCGGACGGGGGCAGCGGGTATAATGCGGAGCGAAGCAGCGGGTATAATGCGGACGGGGGCAGAGGGTATAATGCGGAGCGAAGCAGCGGGTATAATGCGGACGGGGGCAGCGGGTATAATGCGGAGCGAAGCAGCGGGTATAATGCGGACGGGGGCAGCGGGTATAATGCGGAGCTAAGCAGCGGGTATAACGCGGACGGGGGCAGCGGGTACAACGCGGAGGGAGGTAGTGGGTATAATGCAGAGGGAGGGTACGGTGAGCGCGGATACTAAGAGGCCGTTAGTATCCCTGGACGCCAGAGCCGCTTTAGGAGGCTGGGGCGGCTAAAGCGCGGACCCAATGGCTCCCGCGCTGAGGCGGGCGAGGCGGCTCTGATTAAGGCCGCGGAGGAGCAAGTGGAATACGCAAGCATGGAAGCGGGTGATGGGAGTGGCGGAAGCAGGAGTGGGAACTGGACTGGAATGAAGAGGAGAAACTTTGTTGAAAAGTTGTTGGCATGAGCCTTTTCTCTTTCTTGCTGCTTTGTTGAAAAGCTGTTGGATGTTTTGTTTGAATGGAAGCTTGTAATGTGCTCTTTATTACTTGAATTCCACAAATGCACACAAACTAACAAAGGAGAACCGTACCAGGTCTTCATACCCCCCTACCACGATAATTGATCTCTCATTGGCACTACCGGTATATGCCCAAGCCAAGCCTGTACCTACCGTACCACGCATTCAATGGAGCAAGTGAACAGAGAAGTGGAAGTGGCAGGTCTCGACACAGGAAGTGTCACATGATTCAATCCCAGATCCCTGTGAAATGAAAGGGTTGCTTTTATGCAGGAGATCTGTAAGGCAAGTAGATAGCAACATAACCTAGAAAACCTAGAATGCTGGCAATGACCCATTTGGGAACCAACACCAGTACCCACAGCACCACCAGCTGCAGCAACAATATATGTGTGACTGCACCCCCTCGAGCAGTCTAACTCGTTTCTGATAATTCCTAGTACAGTAATCCTTAACTGTGGGTCTTGGCGCCCAAGCCATGGCTTATGGTCTACCACAAACCATGCACCCCACCGCACCCTGCTGCAACCCATTGCACCCTGTTGCAGCATGCAGAACGCCCTCATCACTGCACCACGCTCGCAGCCACTGCTTCCTCCCCAACAGCAGCAGGAGCAGCAGCAGGAGGAGAAGCGGTCAGGTCAGCATCTCTGAGGATGCTAACCCTCTCCTCCAGCCCACGTCATGTCCTGCTGCACCCTGCTGCACCCTGCTACACCCTGCTACACCCTGCTACACCCTGCTGCGCGACCTCCCCTCATCATTGTGCCACGCTCGCAGCCACAGCCTCAGCAGCAGCAGCAGGAGCAGCAGTGAGGTCCGCATCCCTAAGGATACTAATCCTCTCCTCCAGCCCCACGCAGTGCACCTTGGGCCCCAGCGCCTTGTCCGCTGCTGCATGCTGCAGCATGGTGAGTGTCTCCCCCACGTCTGGCCCGTGCATACGCCCTGTGAGCAGCACTCGGATGGGCATGAAGAGGCGCTTGCCCTGCCAGGAGTGGGGAAAGGGGAAGAGGGGAGGTAGGAAGGAAGGGAGGAGGGAGAAGTGGGGTGTGAAGGGCATGGTGAGCGTCTGCCCCACGTCCGGCCCATGCATGCACCCTGTGAGCATGTCAGGCCCACACATGCAGGGGAGGAGTGGGGATGAGGTGGGTGTGGGGGGCAGTGGGGATGGGGTGGGGGTGGGGGGCAACAGCGTACACAAGCCATGCCTAACTTGGAAGGGGAAGACATGGTGGCACTGCCACAACCAACTTCCCTTCCCACTCGCGTCACCCATGCTGCATTTTCACTGTTTCCCACTGACTTTCCCCTGCCTCCCCCCCCACTTCTCGTGCCTACACCAGCACCGCTTCCCATTGCTCTCTTTCCAGCATCCCCACGACCCCCCTGCCCAGGTGCGTTCTGACGCCCCCCCTTGATCCACGTCACACCGCCTCTCCCCTCTCATCACTCAAGCTGCACCACTCCCCCTCTTCGTCATATTGCGCCCGTCACCCACCCTTGCGCCCTTCCCCTCCTCCTCCTCTCCTGCCCTCCATCCAACCCCCCACCCCTCACCTTGCGTCCAGTGGCCTTCCCAAACGCGTTAATCCGCTTCTTCCACGTGGCAGCGCCTCCCTCCGCTCCTCACATTTGCTTCATGCCTTTTTCCACAACTCAGGACACACCCCTCCCCATCCCTCCTTCACCTACTCCCCCCACCACTGCCCTCACCTTGCGCCCAGTGGCCTTCCCGAATCCCTTGATCCACTTCTTCCACGTCGCAGCGCCGCCATCCACGGCTGTCAGCAGTGCCCCGCTCTCCCACTCTGCCAGCAGCGCTGCCCTCACGTCCTCCAACCCGTCCTCCACCACTGCCTTGGCCTCCTCGCTGGAGGAAATTGGGGGGGTGGGGAGGGGGGGAAAAAGCATGGGATGAAATCAGGAGTGATGGGGTAGCGCCCCCATCCACTGCTGCCAGCAGCGACCCGCTCTCCCACTCCGCCAGCAGCGCCATCCTCACGTCTTCCAGCCCGTCCTCCACCACTGCCTTGGCCTCCTCGCTGTGGGGGAAGGCGCGGGAAGAGAGGGAGAAAGGAAGAGAGCATGGTTTAGGGGCTTGATGCGGAAGCACCACTACTCTCACGTCTCCCTACCCACCACTGCCTTGGCTTCCTCGCTGGTGAAGAGGAAGGAGGGGGAAGTGCACGGGGGGGGGCGGGGGGGGGGGGGAGGAAATGTGAAGGGAGAAGGGGAAGGGGAAGGAGTGATGGGCCAGCAGCGCTGCTCTCTCGTCTTCTAGCCCGTCGTCCACCACTGCCTTGGTTTCCTCGAGGGTAACTGGGGAGAGAACAAGGGAGAAGGGAAAGGAGCGAGGGAAAGGAACACGGACAGAACAAGGGAGAAGGGAAAGGAGTGAGGGGCATGCTGGGTTAGCAGCGCGGCTGGCGTCCACCATTGCCTGGGCGTTCGCCACTGCCTTGGCGTGCACCACTGAAGGGTGTAAGAGCAGAGGGGAAGAACGGGAGAAGGAAATGGAGCGAGGGGTGTGTCGGGCCCACCACCAGCACTGCCCCTTTCTCGCCTCCCAAGCTGCAATTTTTCCTCCTCCGCCACTACTCGGTGCCGTCGCTGCCACTGCGCCCCTGCCAGGGATCTCCGCGCGAGGGCACCAACAGGTAACTGCTGCTCGCTGCTCAGGCAGCTCAGCTGGCGACGGCATGAGTGGCCATGCCAGCAGCGCCTCCAAGGCCCCCCATACTGGAATCCCTTACCAGCATACCAGGATACACCAAGGCATACCAGGATACACCAAGGCATACCAGGATACACCAAGGCATACCAGGATACACCAAGGCATACCAGGATACACCAAGGCATACCAGGATACACCAAGGCACACCAGGATACACCAAGGCATACCAGGATACACCAAGGCACACCAGGATACACCAAGGCACACCAGGATACACCAAGGCATACCAGGATACACCAAGGCATACCAGGATACACCAAGGCATACCAGGATACACCAAGGCATACCAGGATACACCAAGGCATACCAGGATACACCAAGGCACACCAGGATACACCAAGCACACCAGGATACACCAAGGCATACCAGGATACACCAAGGCACACCAGGATACACCAAGGCATACCAGGATACACCAAGGCATACCAGGATACACCAAGGCACACCAGGATACACCAAGGCACACCAGGATACACCAAGGCATACCAGGATACACCAAGGCACACCAGGATACACCAAGGCATACCAGGATACACCAAGGCACACCAGGATACACCAAGGCACACCAGGATACACCAAGGCATACCAGGATACACCAAGGCACACCAGGATACACCAAGGCATACCAGGATACACCAAGGCATACCAGGATACACCAAGGCACACCAGGATACACCAAGGCACACCAGGATACACCAAGGCACACCAGGATACACCAAGGCACACCAGGATACACCAAGGCACACCTGGCGAGTGTGTCCTTGAGCGGATACGCCAGCAGCGCCTCCAGTGCCTCGTCGGCATCTGTGACCAGCTCCAGCCCGCTGCGCACCAACGCTGCTGCGGCCTGCGAGGGATGATGGGGTGGATTTGGAGGGGAGGGGAAGGGAGCAATGGGGAAGGGGAGATCATTAGTCAGGCATTCGCATCTGTGACCAGCTCCAGCCCGCTGCGCACCAACGCTGCTGCGGCCTGCTTGGGAGACAAGGCAACATGGAATGGAGCAATGGGTGAGGGAAGAAAGATTCCATTCCGTAGGCTGTCGGCATCTGTAAGCAGCTCCAGCCCGTTGCACACCAGCGCTGCTGCGCTCTGATCAAAAGATGGTAGGCGGATGGGCAAGGGAGCAATGGAAGGGATAAGGAATCGTTTTAAGCCGTCAGCATCTGTGACGTGACGAGTTCCTCCAGCCCGTTGCGCACCAACGCTGGTGCTGCCAGATGGGGGTGATGGGGCGATTTTGGAGAGGAGGAACCGGAAATATGGGTGGGGTCGAGAATTGGTTGGGCAATCAATATCAATGCTGCTGCTGTCTGGTGGTGAGATGATGGGACACGTGCAGGGGAGCAACGGGAACGCGGAAACAATTTGTTAAACAATCCGGTGCAACCCGTTGCTAATCAGTGCTGCTGTTCTGCAATTTGATGTCAGGGCAGTGTGGAGCGGAGCAATGGGGACGCGAGAGAATCGGATAGGAATCAATCAAAGCAATAGGCAGCCGGCATCTGTGATGTGATGTGACTAGCTCCAGCCCATTGCGGACCCACGCTGCTGCTGACTGTTGGTGGGATGATGGGGACATGTGGAGAGCAGCAATGGGCAAGAAGAGAGAACTGCTTAGGGAAGGTGTGGGTGAATTCCTCCCCACTTCCCTCGACCTCTTACAAACGCCCCCATCTGTGTGGTGTGGTTGCTCGCTCGCCCTCACTTCCATAGCCCCGTTCACCCTTCCCCAACCCTCCCCACACCCCCGCCTCCCCCTCCTTTCCTCACCCTCACTTCCATCCTCCTCCTCCCCCCCCACTTCCCCCCCCCCCCCCCCCACCTGTGCGGTGCGGCTGGTAGCGTCTGCTGACGCCAGCAGGCCGCTGGCGTGCCACTGCTCGGCGAGCAGCTGCGTGGAAGCTTCCTCGGAAAGCTGGCGGAAGTGCTGGCCGTTGATCCACCTTAGCTTGGCGTTGTCAAAGATGGCGGCAGATTTCGTGACGCGGGAGAGGGAGAATTTCTCAACTGCAATGGGAGAGAAGAGAGAGGGGGAATGCAGTGCGAGGAGAGAGCGGTGGGGGAATGCAGTGCGAGGAGAGAGCGGTGGGGGAATGCAGTGCGAGGAGAGAGCGGTGGGGGAATGCAGTGCGAGGAGAGAGCGGTGGGGGAATGCAGTGCGAGGAGAGAGCGGTGGGGGAATGCAGTGCGAGGAGAGAGCGGTGGGGGAATGCAGTGCGAGGAGAGAGCGGTGGGGGAATGCAGTGCGAGGAGAGAGCGGTGGGGGAATGCAGTGCGAGGAGAGAGCGGTGGGGGAATGCAGTGCGAGGAGAGAGCGGTGGGGGAATGCAGTGCGAGGAGAGAGCGGTGGGGGAATGCAGTGCGAGGAGAGAGCGGTGGGGGAATGCAGTGCTGGCGGAAGTGCTGCCCGTTGATCCACCGCAGCTTGGCGTTGTCGAAGATGGCCGCGCTCTTGGTGACTCGTGACAGGGACAACTTCTCGACTGGGGTGAGATTGGGGGTGACAAAAGAGGGGGCTTTGCAGAGGCACAGTGGCAGGGGCGGGCTGTTGATCCACCGCAGTGCAGTGTGGCGTTGTCTGTCAATCATGGCGGCACGGCAACCTAGGTGACGTGTGAGAGCGAGAACTTCTCGTCTCGACCGCAGTGGGAGGAGGTGGGGGGTAAGGCACAGGGAGAATGCAGGGACAGGTGAGTGGGTGGGCGCATAATGCAGGGACAGGTGAGTGGGTGGGCGCATAATGCAGGGACAGGTGAGTGGGTGGGCGCATAATGCAGGGACAGGTGAGTGGGTGGGCGCATAATGCAGGGACAGGTGAGTGGGCGCATAATGCAGGGACAGGTGAGTGGGCGCATAATGCAGAGCAGGAAATGGCGGCACTCTTGGTGACCCGTGAGACCCGTGAGACCCGTGAGACCCGTGAGACCCGTGAGACGGAGAGTTTTCAACTGCAAGGGGAGCAGAGGGCATTGAGAGGAGAGCGTTCTGCATGATACCATTCAGCACACGTGAAGTGAAAATATCGCCCTCTGTGCCAACCGCTTCACTGAAAAGAAACACCATCGATCAGTCACCTACAGCCCGCCAGTACTTCACCTGAGGCAGCATTTAACAATGCAAGCTGTGAGGGCGTGAACATCTCGTCCTCCGTGCTCTCATGCTCACTGGATAGAAACACAACCGCCGGCACCACATGCTTGAGCCACCACCTATCAACGCACCGAGCTGCGAGGGCGTGAAGATCTCGTCCTCCGTGCCAAGCAACTCATTGCATACACACCCCATCTAACGACCCTCCTAATGCCCACCAGCACCCCACCCCCCTAATACCAGCATGCCACCACCTAGCAACGCACCAAGCTGTGAGGGCGTGAAGATCTCGTCCTCTGTGCCAGGCAACTCATTGCATACACACCCCATCTAACGACCCTCCTAATGCCCTGCCCACCAGCACCACACCCACCTGATACCAGCATGCCACCACCTAGCAACGCACCGAGCTGCGAGGGCGTGAAGATCTCGTCCTCTGTGCCATCGTTCCACCCCAGCAGCGCCAAGTAGTTCACCATCGCCTCTGGTAGGAAGCCCAGGTCCTTGAACTGCACAAAAGAGGGAAGGGAGGGGAGGGGAGTGCGGTGGGGTGTGGCATGGTTGAAGAATGGAGGGGTAAGACGAGAGGGCAGCACAATAGGCTGTAGCAGCGCCAGGAAGTTCAGCATGGCCTCTGGCAGGAAGCCCAGGTCGTTGAACTGCACAACAGGGGGTGAGGGGAGAGCAGTGCGGTGGTGGAAGAATGGAGGGGCAGCAAGTGAGGGCAGCACGATAGGATCATAAGTGCAAGTCCTTGAACTACAGGGAGGAGGGAGGGGGATAGCTGCGTGAGACTTTGAGAGCTCAAGGCGGTGAAGCAGCAGGATACGAATGAACCATGTAGTCCAGTCCAGGGCACGCAAACTCCACCTTCTTCCCGCCCCTCTTCCCCCCCTCCTCTCACTCTTCTTCCCGCCCCTTTCCCCCTCTCTCCCCTCTTCTTCCCGCCCCTTTCCCCCTCCTCCCACTCTTCTTCCCGCCCCTTTCCCCCTCCTCCCACTCTTCTTCCCGTCCCTTTCCCCCTCCTCCCGCTCTTCTTCCCGTCCCTTTCCCCCTCCTCCCGCTCTTCTTCCCGTCCCTTTCCCCCTCCTCCCACTCTTCTTCCCGTCCCTTTCCCCCTCCTCCCACTCTTCTTCCCGTCCCTTTCCCCCTCCTCCCGCTCTTCTTCCCGTCCCTTTCCCCCTCCTCCCGCTCTTCTTCCCGTCCCTTTCCCCCTCCTCCCGCTCTTCTTCCCGTCCCTTTCCCCCTCCTCCCACTCCTCCTCTTCCCCCCCCTTTCCCCCTCCTCCCACTCTTCTTCCCGTCCCTTTCCCCCTCCTCCCACTCCTCCTCTTCCCCCTCCTTTCCCCCTCCTCCCACTCCTCCTCTTCCCCCCCCTTTCCCCCCCCTCCCTCTCTTCTTCCCGTCCCTTCCCCCCTCCTCCCACTCCTCCTCTTCCCCCGTTTCCCCCTCCTCCCACTCCTCCTCTTCCCCCGTTTCCCCCTCCTCCCACTCCTCCTCTTCCCCCGTTTCCCCCTCCTCCCACTCCTCCTCTTCCCCCGTTTCCCCCTCCTCCCACTCCTCCTCTCCCCCCCCCTTTCCCCCTCGCACCTGGCCCACGGAGGTGGCGCCATGGCGCTTGGAGAGCTTGGAGCGGTCCGGGGCGAGGATGAGCGACACGTGGCCGAACGTGGGCATGGGCAGACCGAGGGCCTGGTGGGTGGGTGAGGTGAGGGCAGATAGAATTGGATGGAGAACAACGATGGTGTTTGGAGGCTGATTGTGCTTGATAGAGAGTATGGAAGGGGGGGTTAGTGGGATGGGTGGGGCAAACATGCCTGCATGCTTGACATGGGCCCTGGGATATGCAGCACGGTGAGCGGGCCGAGCACGGAGACACATGGCGTGGCATGGAATGGAATAGTATGGTATGGCAAGGCATGGCACGGTATGGCACGGTATGTGATGGCATGGAATAGAATGGTATGGCATGGTATGGCATGGTATGGCATGGCATGGCATGGCATGGTATGGCATGGCATGGCATGGCATGGCATGGCATGGCATGCAATGACATGGCATGTAATGACATGTAATGACATGTAATGACATGACATGTAATGACATGGCATGGCATGAGGGCCCTACAGTGTGCAGGCAGTACAAGCATGAGCATGGGTGCACGCACCTCGTAGATGGGCGTCTGGCGAATGCATGGCATGGCATGGCATGGCATGGCATGGCACGGCATGGCATGGAATGGCATGGCATGGCATGGCATGGAATGGCATGGCATGGCATGGCATGGAATGGCATGGCATGGCATGGCATGGCATGGCATGGCATGGCATGGCATGGCATGGCATGGCATGGCATGGCATGGCATGGCATGGCATGGCATGGAATGGCATGGCATGGCATGGCATGGCATGGCATGGCATGGCATGGCATGGCATGGCATGGCATGGCATGGCAAGGAATGGCATGGCAGGGCAAGCACGGAGCTCGCACCTCGTAGATGAGCGCCTGGCGCAGAGTGTTGGGCAGATGCTCCTCCGCTCTGATTGGGAGGGACGGGAAGGGTGCGAGCAGGGGAGAGGGGGGAAGCTGGATGTGCATGTGCAGGCATAAGTGTGTGTGTGTGTGTGAGTGTGTGTGTGTGTGCTAAAAAGTGTGTGCATGTGTGCATGTGTGTGTGTGTGCTAAAATGTGTGTGCATGTATGCACATGAGTGTGTGCTAAAAAAGAGTGCATGTGTGCACGTATGTGTGTGCTAAAATGTGCGTGCACATGTTTGTGTGCATGTTTGCACGTGTGTGTGTGCATCCAGTAGTGTACAGGCAGCAGCAGTGCGCCATGCATCAAGCTGCCTGCAGCAACAGTCACATCCGCCCCTATAAGCATGAGTCATCAGATCTTCAAGCAGGCGTTATCCAAAGCAGCAGCATTCACAAGTTGCTCAATCATGTGCATTCTACCAGCCCGCAGCAGGACGCCATTTAATCCCCCACACACACCAGCCAGCTAGAACCCACACCCGCCCTGCCTGTCCCACTGACCACTCACCGACGTGGCAGCACAGTAAAATGCCTCACCGGATGACGTGGGAGATCTTCATGGTGGCGTCATCCACAGTCACACAGAAGTTGTACACCGGCTGCCCGTTGCTGCGCAGCACCACAAAGTCGCCCAAGGTGTCTGTGTTCCACGCCACCTGGTGGGGGGGTCAACACAAGTCAACGCCAGTCAACGCCAGTCAACAAAAACTACAAGTTGTACACCGGATGCCCGTTGCTCTTCAGCACCACAAAATCGCCCAGCGTATCTGTGTTCTATGCCACCTGGCAGGGATAACAAGACAACACAAGTCAACCGCAATCAACGCCGGTAAACAGAGGATATAAGTCGCCCAGCAGTGTGTCCAGTCCATGTTGCACGCCACGTGGCGAAGTCTACTCAAGTCAACAAAGGTCAACAACAGTCAATGCAGGTCAACACCACTCAAGGGAGGTCAAGAAAGTTCAACAGCAGTCAATGCAGTCATCTCACCTCCCCTCGGACAAGGTCGTTGATCTTGATGACTTTGTTGGGCGGCACTCGGAACCGGAATGAGTGTGGTGTGCCCCTTGCCAGCTCAGCAGCCACCTCCTCCTCACTGGCAGTCGCCCACTTGCCCGCGTACTTGGGAGGAAGCTTCTTCGCCTCCTGCTCCGCCTTCATTGCTGCTAGCTCCTGCACAGCACAGGAAAGACGAAGTAGGGGGCGAGGAGAGGGAGTATGGGAATTTGGGGGTTGGGAGAGAAGGGGAGGAAGTATGGGTGAGCAGCATGACGTACTTGGGAGGAAGCTTCTTCGCGTCCTCTGCTCCGCCGTCATCGCTGCTAGCTCCTGCACGCCCAAAGAGAAGCCAAGGACTTAACGAGCCAGAAGCAGGGCGTCTCCAATTCGCTCCACCTCAAACACTCGCCCTCCTGTCTCTCTTCGTCACCACCCACTGACCCGCCCTGCCTCTCCTCATGCGCCACCCATCCACTCAAAGCCCCCACCTACCTCCTCCCCACCCTTACCTCATCTGTGCAGCAGAAGCAGCGGTACACCATGCCCGAGGCCAGCAGTGTCTCTGTCAGCTCGCCGTAAATTCCTTTGCTCGCGATGCGCCATCCTCTTCCTTTCCAGCGCACCTCATCAAAACCCCCACCACCTCACCTCGCCGCACAAAAACTTCCCACCACCTCTCAGCACCGCTGCTCACCTCATCAGTGCAGAAGCAGCGGTACACCATGCCTGACGCCAGCAGCTTCTCTGTGAGCTCGCGGTAGATCTCGTTGCGCTCTGACTGCCTGTACGGACCCAGAGGACCGCCCACGTCCGGGCCTGTCACGGGTGACAAGGGAAGGGGGAGGTGGTGAGAGGAGCGTAGTGAGTCACTTTTGAGAATTCTCAAAGGTCCCTGGTAAACCGCATTGCATTGCACTCTGACTGCTGGTACGGGCCAGGGGCCGCCCACGTACGGGCTTGGTGGCACACACACAAGACGCCCTCATACGCCTCACCCTCCTCCCAGTCTATTCCCGCTCTTTCCCACCTAGCCTTTCCCATTTCTCTCCTTCGTCCCAGTCCGTCACCCTCTCGCTCACCCTCGACCGAGTCCATCCCCTTTTTGCTTCACTCACCCTCAGCCCAGTCTCCCCACCTCCCCACTTCTGGCTCCCCTCCGCCCTTGCTCACCCTCGTCCCATTCTTTCCCCACATCCCCCTTTCCCCCTCCTCCCTTCACTCACCCTCCTCCCCCCCCACCACCTCCACTCACCCTCGTCCCAGTCGAGCCCCAGCCAGCGCAGGTCGCGCACCATGGCGGCCTCGGACTCCGGTGTGGAGCGGTTCAGATCGGTGTCCTCCACGCGCAGCACGAACTTGCCGCCCGTAGCCCTGGCGAGAGGGGGGACCAAGTGAGAGAAGCAACGCGGAGGATTGGGAGAACGCGGAGGCGCGGAATCAGGGATTTGGGGGAGGTAATGGGGATTGGGGCCAGAAGAAAGGAGAACGGGTTGCATGGAAGGGGAATGACGCATGGGGGCAAACAAAGAAGCCACAGCCTTGATCGGCCGCGGTAGCGGTCGGCTGTGACGGTTGGCCGTCAACCCTCGCAACCGCAGTCTGCTGCGACGGCTGGCCGTCAACCCTCGCAACCGCAATGCAGCTCAGGGACGCGAAGACAGACGCTCACAATCACGCGCCTCCCCTCTTCCACTGGCATTTTCAGGTAAGCAATACCTATTCACCGATTGGTACGAAACTCGTCAAAGATAGAAAATAATCCCACCCGTACTCGCCAGCTATCGACACTACCTGCATACACTGCGTGAGCATTATAGGCGCCCTGCGTTTCAGCCGTCCGATTCACCTCCAAATTCGACTACCCTGACGTTCTGCGAACCGTGACGCTGATGCGAGGGGTCTGGAACAGCTCATAACGAGCTAATTCACGATGACCACGTCGCTAAATTCGCGGCCAATTGCGTAATTTACGTGTGCTTAGGGTACTTTGCTGTCTTTTTTTTTTTAATTAATTTTTTTTTTCCATTGTTTTCTCCCCCCGTTTTGTCGCATACAGTCGCACGCGCACCTCGCGAAGAGCCAGTTGAAGAGCGCCGTGCGAGCCCCGCCCACGTGCAGGTTCCCTGTCGGCGACGGTGCGAATCGCACGCGCGGCTTCCCGTCGCTCCCCGCCGTCGCAGCGGCCCCCGTCGCGTCGCAGCGAGCGCCGCGGCGGCTGGCGACGTGCCTCTGCGCGACGTGCGACGATTTGGCTTCACCCGAAAGGCTCACTTGTCTGAGCCCCGAAAAGAAGGCCTTAGGAAAAGAATGGGTGCTCTGCGCCAATCGCTGCGCGGCCCTTCCACCGAGCGACACAGCGACGGAGTACGGCGCTCTCGCCGCCGCCTGCGATACGGTCGCCATGGCTACCGCGTCTCGGGTACGAAAGCGAATCGGGAATCGCGCTAAGCGAAAAGGTAATCGTGAAGCGCGAGAGATTCCACGCACGGGCTGCTACGAAGGTCGCGACGAAACGAAGTGAAGGTCGTCGGACCAGTGCAGCTGGGAATGAGAAATGCACGGGTATTGGGGAAAATGGCTGCTGTTGGGGGAACTGGAACTCGTATGTTGTGGGTAAATCTCAAGAATCCCAGCTTGCTCGAGTTGTGGAGAACCCGAAGAAATACCGCTGGGATGTGTCATAAGAGTTTACCGCGATGAAGTGAGATATTGAGCGTAATAGAGCGGCTCGTTTGTAGTTTTAAATGTTTGGGTAGGGTTCGAGCAAGCACAATTTGACCCCGCCTTGGCCGAAAAGGATGGCGAGGCGAAATCGTGAGGCTGACGGGGCGTGGCGAAACGTGAAACGATTGAGCGCCACGTGGAGTTCCAACATCGCGAGCTGATAGGGCGTTGCGTGGAAAGAGGATGTGTCTCGACCCAGTTAGTGGCAAACTCTGCAGAACTGTTATACGTTGGAAATTCGTGTTTCCTGCTTATTCCTTATACTTCAAAACAAAAACGGGTCATAATAGTGAATAGGGCACAAAACATTCATACTTTAAGACACTGCCGTACCAGCGGATGATAACTCTTCTTGGAATAACCAACACAGACATATGATCCCACGATTATTCACTTCTTCTCAAAGCTGCTCAAATACCGACCGATCTCAACAGCATTCGCATACCCTCCCTCAACACACCAACTCAGCGCAACACCCGTCAAATAGTTCCCTCCAAGAAACACCCCACCCATACCCGCCTCTTTAATACCTTCCCTCGCCGCCTCTACCCTGGCAAGGTGCCCAATATTCAGCTGCGGAACGGCGCGCGGCCACACTCGCACTCCGAGCGGCAGAGGCGGAGGGGCAGAGGGATGGACGAGCGTGGTGCGCATGTCACGATCAACTGCTTCTATGAGGTCTGTGTGGGACTGCAAAGGAGAGGGGCAGGGTCATGGAGAGGGCAGGAAGAAGGGGGAAGTAGGGGGGAGAGACAGTGAGAGTGAGAGGGCGTCTAGAGAGAAGGCCTGCTTGCCCTCACGGTCTGACTGGATGGCATTCGGCTCAGGTGGCTGCAGTGGGGGAGGCATGGAGGAGTGTGGTGCACCTGCCAAGGTCCACTGCTGCTATGAGGTCTGTGGGACTGCAATGGAGGAAGGCAGGGGTGTAGAGAGGTCGGGCGAACAGAGAGTGCAGAGGGAGAAAGTGGAGGGGGAAGGGGGCGGGAAGGATGAGAAGACGCCTGGCGTGTGGATAACTGTGTGCACGTGGAGTTGACGGGTAGGGAGGCAGCTGGGCAATTGACCAATGACCACCACGCAGCTTACAATAAGATGTACACTGTACACATTCTCAGAATTGCCACTCACCATTTCAGCGACGGCATCGTTCCCCGCACCGCCCACGTAGCAGATTAGCAGCACTCGACCGTCAGGTGCCCTGCTGGGGAAGAGAGCCGAGCTGTAGATGCAGCCTGGGTGGGGAAGAGGGGAGAGGAAGGGCAGTGATGGAGGGACGCAGGTGAGTGCGATGCTTGCGCGGTGCTTGGAGGTGCATCACTAAGCCTCTGGGAGTGCGGTGCTTAGAGGTGCATCACTAAGCTTCTGGGAGTGCGGGTGCAGCTGTCCATACCTTCCAACCTCCCTCTCATCCTTGCTCCCTCTCACCCACTCTCTCCCAATCTCTCCCACCACTTCCCCTCCTACACACACACACACACACTCTCTCTCTCATCCTCCAACCTTCGACAACTCTCTCTCTCCCACCTCTCCCCTTCTCACCCACTGAGCCCACTTTTCTGAAGTTGCTCAACACCCATGTGTGACACGTGCCAGTGGTCTAGTTGCTCAAGACTCTGAATCCCTTTCTCCTCGTCCTCCTGCCCGTTCGCGACCGACTCCAGCCGCTGAGACACTTTTGACTGCCCCATCGAACCTCGCACCACCCTCTACTCCTCAGCTTCAATCACCTTCTGCTCCCTCCCAGCAACCTCAAACGACGTCAGCGCCGAAACTTGTCTCGAAAAAACAGAAGGAGGTTCTCCAGCAGGTTCTCAAAGACACCCTTCCAAATTCCCCATCTACATCGCAACCTCACACCTCCCACCCTAATCCCTCGCCTTCACGTGACCATCCCTCCCCTGCCTCAGTCCCTCCTCCAACCACCACCGCAGCTGCTCCTGGTCTCACAGCCTTTGCTGACGACTCGCACCCACTATCACACTATGAAACTGCTGCTTCACCTTCTCGGGATCCCCCACCTCCTTCCCCCACCCCTAGTTCTACACAGCCATGCCCACACCCCTGTCCGCCCTCGTCAACCTCCGATAACCCGCTACCTCCTAATTCTTGCCCTACATGTCGACGCACCTTCGCCAACTCAGGTTCTCTGGCCCGTCACCTTTCAGCCTGCTCACGCAACACCGCCACACGACAGCAAGCTGCTCGCCCCCCCACCTCCCCGTGCATCAGCCACAACTTCAGCGCCCGCAACCGCAGATCGACCATCAATTCCCCAAGCCACCTGGGAGGCCATTCTTTCCTGGGATTGGCCCTACTTCTTCAGCCCGGCAGTCTCACCTGGCCCTATTCTCCGCCGAATCCCCTCCCGCATCCGTCTGCTCATTCTCGATGCACTTCTCATTCCACTACGCCGCCTTGCGCAGCATCCTTCTGACGTCGCTGCACACCTTATTCTCTTGGCATTTCGGGTCTATTGCTGCGCCTGCCATCTGGCGCTGCTTCCACACAGCCCGTTACCTCTTCATGTGCTTCCTTAGCGCGCCGCTTCATCAATGGTGAATGGCAGTCTCTTTTCAGCGAAGCCGTAGCTGTAGCCACTCCAGCCGCCAGACCTCTGCACATGGCATCAGCACGTTCTTCAGCGCTTCAGGCTCGTCTCAACCGTGCGAAGCGTTTTGCAAAATGCGGGGATTGGTCGCGGTCATTGGCAGCACTGGAGGCTGGCGAGTTAGCACCACCGCTTCCAGAAACAGTTGCTGCCTTAACTCCAAGCATCCGCCTGCTGCAGCCGAGATTCCTGATTGGGTCCACAGCTTCTCTCCTGCTGCTGCACCGCAGCTTACTGTCCCTGTTCTCCACGCTGCCCTACAGTCCGCCCCTCGCGGCACAGCTGCTGGGCCTTCTGGGTGGTTCATTGAGCATCTTCGAGACACATTTCTCTCCCACCAGCAGCATCTCCCTTCTCTCCTCCACGTCTTCCAGAATTGGCTGCAAGGCGATCTTCCACCCGCAGTTCGGCCTTACTACACCGCTTCGAACCTCGTCGCCCTCCAGAAGCCGCATGGTGGCGTACGGCCCATCGCCATTGGAGAAGTGTTACCACGCCTTCTTTCACGCTGCATTACTCTCCTCTTCAAGCAGCAGATGCGAGAAACGTTTCTTCCTCATCTTCAGTTTGGCGTAGCAGTTCCAGCGGGGATTGAGGTCATGTCGCACGCAGTTTGTTCCGCCTTCTCCCTTCATCCGGACTGGGTGGTGCTGCAGCTGGACGTTGCAAATGCATTCAATTCTTTCAACCGGGTTCCATGTTTGAGGCATTAAGGCGCTCCCATTCTCCAGTCTCATTCCCTTCTTTCGCCTGTTCTACTCCACCCCTTCACCTCTCCACTACCGCAGCGGCCCCCTTCTCCATACATTCGGCACAGCTGCTGGGCCTTCTGGGTGGTTCATTGAGCATCTTCGAGACACATTTCTCTCCCACCAGCAGCATCTCCCTTCTCTCCTCCACGTCTTCCAGAATTGGCTGCAAGGCGATCTTCCACCCGCAGTTCGGCCTTACTACACCGCTTCGAACCTCGTCGCCCTCCAGAAGCCGCATGGTGGCGTACGGCCCATCGCCATTGGAGAAGTGTTACCACGCCTTCTTTCACGCTGCATTACTCTCCTCTTCAAGCAGCAGATGCGAGAAACGTTTCTTCCTCATCTTCAGTTTGGCGTAGCAGTTCCAGCGGGGATTGAGGTCATGTCGCACGCAGTTTGTTCCGCCTTCTCCCTTCATCCGGACTGGGTGGTGCTGCAGCTGGACGTTGCAAATGCATTCAATTCTTTCAACCCGGGTTCCTATGTTTGAGGCATTAAGGCGCTCCCCATTCTCCAGTCTCATTCCCTTCTTTCGCCTGTTCTACTCCACCCCTTCACCTCTCCACTACCGCAGCGGCCCCCTTCTCCATACATTCCAGTCAGCTTCTGGTGTTCGTCAAGGCGACCCTTGCGGCCCTTTCCTGTACGCCCTAACGCAGCAGCTAGCCATCCAACCAACCCCCAGCAGCAGCAGTCTCCCCTCTATTTTCATTACCTCATACGGACGATTCCTACCTGGTCGGCCCTCCCTCAGACGTCTTTGCTGCATACACTGACCTTACAGCCCGCCTTCTCTCGCCCGCCTTCTCTCTCGGCCTTACTGTTCAACCCTCTAAGTGCTCTTTATGGGCCCCTATGGACTTGCCCAAACACTGCATTCCACCCTCCGGCATTTCCATCGCTGCAAACGGTCTCACTGTCGCTGGCGTTCCTACTGGCTCCGACGGTTATGTCATCTCTACAGTCTCACATTCGTGACAAACTCGTTTCTTTCACTTCCTCCCTCCCCTTACTACTGCATCACTGCAAGACCCTCAGTTTGCCTCACGGATCCTTTCCTTATGCATCACTACTCCGCCCGCCCTTCTTTCCTCCTCCGAACAGTCGCACCTTTTCCCGAAATCCGAGAGCTACTCTCTTCATGGGACAGCACTATTTCATCAGCACACTCTCTCAGCTCAGCTCCTAGGTTCCGAGTACTGGAATCCCGCCTCTGAACAGTCCGCATCGGCTCGTCTCCAAGCCTCGCTTCCAATCCGCTTGGGTGGCTTCGGTCTTCGTAGCTCTGCATCCATCGCCCCTCTCAGCTACCTTTGCAGCTGGGCGCAGACTGTGTCGACCTTATCCACCCACTTCATCACTGACGGTGCTCCTCTTTTCCGCCCTTACATTACCACAGACACCATCAACCACTTGGACTCTTCAATCTCATCCACCTTGACCATGCTCCCCCAAGACATTCGTGATCGATTCCCCTCGTGGTCTGTGCTACAATCGGGCTACCCCCCCAAACTCTCACTCACCTCTCCCAACACCTCGAAGCCGAACTTCTGGAGCAGGTTCGAGCCACAGTCACGTCCCCGCTTCGCCTTGCTCGCCTAACCTCTTTGCAGGGCCCGCATGCAGGTGACTGGCTTACTGTGGCTCCATCCTCCCCGCACATGCAGCTTTCAGAGACCGAGTGGCGCATTGCAGCAGCTGTCCGCCTAGGCCTTCCTATCCCACACCTTTCATCTTCCCACACCTGCACCTGCAACTCCCCATTCACCGATCCTTCCATCCATTCTCACGTCCTTCGCTGCCCTAGCAACAACGAACCTACGAAGGTGCATGACGCAATCAAGCGCGAAGTTCATCGCATTGCCTTGGAGCTGGGGTTCTCTGCGCAAATGGAAGACCAACACCTACTGCCTGGCCGCCGAACAGACATCACGTGTCGCGACATCAGCTCTGGTACCACCTGGGCCTTGGATGTTTCTGTAGCCGATCCTCAGAAGGGGTTTCCGCCTCCGCACTCCACGCAGCTACGGTCATCGGTTCAGCAGCAGCCACTCGTGAAAGTGAGAAGACTACCCACTATGCAGCAGCACTTCGTGACCGCCCAGACGTCAAACTGTTTCCCCTTGTCATCGAAACCTTCGGTTGCTTCGGCTCTTCCTTCAACAACTTCCTCCGCCAATGCAGCCGTAGGGGGGCTTCGCAAGTTCGCGACTTGAGTGGTGCAACAGATTCTCTTCCCCAGCTGTTTGAGACCAACTTCTACAAGCGGATTTCTCTAGTCCATCAGCGTGAGCAGGCTCGCGCTGTTTGTCGGCGTGCGCAAATTCGTTTTACCGAGGGCATCAACCACACTCCACCCGAGGTGACTTCTCTTTCAGCGGCTGACTTTGCTTACTTGGGAGCGGACCATTGAGACATCACAGAGGCCTGTTAGCAGGCCTCACAATAGGACTGTCTAGCTTTCCTTCTTCACACTAGGTCTTTGGATTTGCCATGTATCCACTGTACATTTACTATACTGTTAATAAAGAGGTAGAATAGCACCCTGCCATGCAGCTTCACGGTGCAGACCCGGGTTCGATTCCCGGCTGGCACATAGTGCAATTTTGCCTTTTTTTTTTTTTTTTTTTTCCCCCCTACGCTGCCACTAATCTACCCAGCCCACACAGCACACCGCACTGTCACGTACAGACATCGTCCGCTCTTCACCATCACGCCGCACCAGACTCGAGATACATTTCAATTCAAGCCCACACCGACCCATATTCCTCCTGATTTCGCATCGTGCGTTCGCAGCCTCGCCTTGACGCTTGACAGCGTGAAGCTGAATTAGTTGAGAAACACTCCCCAGCTTTATGCTTCCCCACCTCCCCCCATCTCACCTAGCATCGTCAGTCCCTGCGAGCGCAGATGCAGCTGCCCTATCCAGTTAGCCCCCCTACCCTGCCTGCATCACCAGCCACATTACCCCACTCTCCAACTCTCTCCAACGCTCTCCCGCTCTTTCCCACTCTCTCCCACTCGCTCCCACTCTCTCTCCCACTCTCCCCCACTCTCTCCCACTCTCTCCCACTCTCTCCCACTCGCTCCCCTCTCTCCCACTCTCCCCCACTCTTTCCCACTCTCCCGCTCTTTCCCACTCTCTCCCACTCGCTCCCCACTCTCTCCCACTCTCCCCCACTCTTTTTCCCACTCTCTCCCCACTCTCTCCTCTCCCACTCGCTCCCACTCTCTCCCACTCTCTCCCATCTCTCCACTCTCTCCCACTCTCTCCCCACTCTCTCCCACTCTCACACATCTCTCCCACTCTCACACATCTCTCCCCATCTCACCTAGCGCCGTCAGATCCTGCGAGCGCGGGTGCAGCTGCCCATATCCGGTCAGCCCCCCTGGCCTCCCAGCCCACACCCACCCACTAGTACCAACTCTCTCCCACCCCTTCCCATCACACTCCCAACGCTCCCTCCCCCTACCCCAGCCTCTTCCCATCTCACCTAGCAACGCCAGGCCCGGGGAGCGTGGGTGCAGCAGCCCATACCCCCGCAGACCCCCTGCTTCCCTCCGTGCCCCACTCACTCTCACACTCCTTCGTACTCTCCCACCTCTCTCCCACCTCTCTCCCACCTCTCTCCCCACCTCTCCCCATCTCACCCAGTGTGGCCAATCCTTGGGAGCGTGGGTGCAGCCCCGCAGACCCCCTGCTTCCCTCCGTGCCCCACTCACTCTCACACTCCTTGTACTCTCTCCACCTCTCTCCCTCCACCTCTCTCCCACCTCTCTCCCACCCCTCTCCACCTCTCCCCATCTCACCCAGTGTGGCCAATCCTTGGGAGCGTGGGTGCAGCTGCCCATACCCCCGCGCAGCCCCCCAGATGCCCCTGCCCCCTCCCTCACAGCAGCAGCAGGGTACGAGAGAGCCACAGATGCCATGGGCGGGTAGGGTATGGCTTCCAGGGCTGCTGCTGCTGTGGGCTGGAGTGGGAGGGAACAAGGGAACCGAGGGAGGGAGAGAGAGACAGAGGGACAGAGGGACAAAGATAGGAAAGGGGTTGGGGAAAGGGGCGGAGGAGGAACGCAATAGATGCTTTTATTTTTTCAATGTAAGGCCCCCTTCTCTGAAAAAGAACATATACGGACTGCTGCAGGAGAGAAGGAATAGCAGCGACCCTCACTGAGAAAGCTCTGATGACGTCAGCTGCCACATAAGCAGGCACTGTGAGCAGCACGGAGCGAGCAGCCACTCTTGAAATGCCACGTGGCGTGTTGTACGTCAGCACAGCCCCACCTCCTGCCCGCTTCTGCATGCCCACCAACCGCCACCCCCACCCGCACCCTGCCTCCCAGGCTGCGACGGGGGATGGAAGGGGTTGGGAAACCTATTTTGCAGCGCCTTTAAAAAACAAAAAAAGCGTGTCGTTCGGCAGCACGAGGAAGCAGAGACAGCTATCTAGTGGCGATCATAAGAATTCTGGCTCCACCTGATGATGCTATCAGTCCGAATCGAATGCTCTGCTATAAGCTGGGACTCATTGCAATGCAATCAGCTTGCCACTCTCTATACGTCCCCCCTGATGCGACCAACTGCCGCCAACCTACTCGCCAGCCCACCAAATCATGCTACCCATACCTACCACCTGTGCTGTGCCATTCCTGCTACCTAATCTACCAACCAGCCCCGTCATCCCCATTACCGAGCCTACCAACCAGCCCTGCCGTACCTACCGGTCAGCCATGGCGCGAGTGAGAGTGGCCAGCCCTGAGTGGAAAGACCCCACTGACTGGCCCTGAGGCCTGGGGAGACGGCTGCAGGGGGGAGGAGGTGTGGGAGGGCATTTGAGAAAGGGGGTTGAAGGGTTGAGGGGATCGGGTTTTTGAGAACTCTCAAATGTGACTAGCCCTGATCGGAAAGACCCCACTGACTGGCCCTGAGGCCTGGGGAGACGGCTGCAGGGGGGAGGGAGGTGTGGGAGGGCATTTGAGAAAGGGGGTTGAAGGGTTGAGGGGATCGGGTTTTTGAGAACTCTCAAATGTGACTAGCCCTGATCGGAAAGACCCCACTGACTGGCCCTGAGGCCTGGGGAGACGGCTGCAGGGGGGAGGGAGGTGTGGGGGCATTTGAGAAAGGGGGTTGAAGGGTTGAGGGGATCGGGTTTTTGAGAACTCTCAAATGTGACTAGCCCTGATCGGAAAGACCCCACTGACTGGCCCTGAGGCCTGGGGAGACGGCTGAGCGAAGGGGAGTGAGGGGGGAGATGGGAATGGGGTGAGGCGGCACCTGAATCATCCTCCCAGCAGGCATCCCCCACAGCAGCCTCCATGTGCCATGCCTGTTCCCTGCACTTACGGATCTCGAGGCTCTGAAGCGTGCTGTTTCTCCTTCCTCTCCCTTCCCAGCTGAATCATCCCCCCAGCAGCGACCCCCCCTCGGCCTCCAGGCGCCATATGCGGTTGAACGCTGCCTGCATGCTCATCTGCACCGCGTCCCCCGCGAATATGCCTGCAAGGGGGTGTAGCAGATGTGGGGAGGGGGGAAGGGCGGTGGAGGAAGAAGGCCCAGGAAACAGGGGCGGTGGGGCTTGGCGGTGTTTCCCTTCTGCTCCTTTTCCTGCCTTCCATTCTGTGAGGCTGTAACGGGTGGAACCGGGCTGCTTGGCAGCTCTTGAGAAGTGGATAAGCAGCACGACCGCACAAGAAGAAGATTGCTGGCAGGTGGGTTCGCTCACAGTGATACCATACCATGGGTGGAAATTGGGTGTGAGAAAAGAATGCTGATACAGTAGTAGCAAAGAGAGGACGAGTTTGGCAGTCAGTCCTCGTTACAGGAGCAGAAGGGGTCGACCAATCGGTGCAGCAGCTGCGAGCCGAGGTTGCGCGTCACAAAGTCAGACACACTCTCCTCCTTGCTGCTGCCCGGCTGGAGGCGCCGGGGGATGGGAGAGTGCATGCATGGTAGGTAACAATGGGTGCATGGTAGGTAACAATGGGTGCATGGTAGGTAACAATGGGTGCATGGTAGGTAATAATGGGTGCATGGTAGGTAACAATGGGTGCATGGTAGGTAACAATGGGTGCATGGTAGGTAATAATGGGTGCATGGTAGGTAACAATGGGTGCATGGTAGGTAATAATGGGTGCATGGTAGGTAATAATGGGTGCATGGTAGGTAATAATGGGTGCATGGTAGGTAACAATGGGTGCATGGTAGGTAACAATGGGTGCATGGTAGGTAACAATGGGTGCATGGTAGGTAACAATGGGTGCATGGTAGGTAATAATGGGTGCATGGTAGGTAACAATGGGTGCATGGTAGGTATAATGGGTGCATGGTAGGTAACAATGGGTGCATGGTAGGTAACAATGGGTGCATGGTAGGTAATAATGGGTGCATGGTAGGTAACAATGGGTGCATGGTAGGTAATAATGGGTGCATGGTAGGTAACAATGGGTGCATGGTAGGTAACAATGGGTGCATGGTAGGTAACAATGGGTGCATGGTAGGTAACAATGGGTGCATGGTAGGTAACAATGGGTGCATGGTAGGTAACAATGGGTGCATGGTAGGTAACAATGGGTGCATGGTAGGTAACAATGGGTGCATGGTAGGTAACAATGGGTGCATGGTAGGTAACAATGGGTGCATGGTAGGTAACAATGGGTGCATGGTAGGTAACAATGGGTGCATGGTAGGTAACAATGGGTGCATGGTAGGTAATAATGGGTGCATGGTAGGTAATAATGGGTGCATGGTAGGTAACAATGGGTGCATGGTAGGTAACAATGGGTGCATGGTAGGTAATAATGGGTGCATGGTAGGTAATAATGGGTGCATGGTAGGTAACAATGGGTGCATGGTAGGTAACAATGGGTGCATGGTAGGTAACAATGGGTGCATGGTAGCGAACAATGGGTGCATGGTAGGTAATAATGGGTGCATGGTAGGTAACAATGGGTGCATGGTAGGTAACAATGGGTGCATGGTAGGTAATAATGGGTGCATGGTAGGTAATAATGGGTGCATGGTAGGTAACAATGGGTGCATGGTAGGTAACAATGGGTGCATGGTAGGTAACAATGGGTGCATGGTAGGTAACAATGGGTGCATGGTAGGTAACAATGGGTGCATGGTAGGTAATAATGGGTGCATGGTAGGTAACAATGGGTGCATGGTAGGTAATAATGGGTGCATGGTAGGTAATAATGGGTGCATGGTAGGTAATAATGGGTGCATGGTAGGTAACAATGGGTGCATGGTAGGTAACAATGGGTGCATGGTAGGTAACAATGGGTGCATGGTAGGTAACAATGGGTGCATGGTAGGTAATAATGGGTGCATGGTAGGTAACAATGGGTGCATGGTAGGTAATAATGGGTGCATGGTAGGTAACAATGGGTGCATGGTAGGTAACAATGGGTGCATGGTAGGTAATAATGGGTGCATGGTAGGTAACAATGGGTGCATGGTAGGTAATAATGGGTGCATGGTAGGTAACAATGGGTGCATGGTAGGTAACAATGGGTGCATGGTAGGTAACAATGGGTGCATGGTAGGTAACAATGGGTGCATGGTAGGTAACAATGGGTGCATGGTAGGTAATAATGGGTGCATGGTAGGTAACAATGGGTGCATGGTAGGTAACAATGGGTGCATGGTAGGTAACAATGGGTGCATGGTAGGTAACAATGGGTGCATGGTAGGTAACAATGGGTGCATGGTAGGTAACAATGGGTGCATGGTAGGTAACAATGGGTGCATGGTAGGTAATAATGGGTGCATGGTAGGTAATAATGGGTGCATGGTAGGTAACAATGGGTGCATGGTAGGTAACAATGGGTGCATGGTAGGTAATAATGGGTGCATGGTAGGTAATAATGGGTGCATGGTAGGTAACAATGGGTGCATGGTAGGTAACAATGGGTGCATGGTAGGTAACAATGGGTGCATGGTAGGTAACAATGGGTGCATGGTAGGTAACAATGGGTGCATGGTAGTAACAAATGGGTGCATGGTAGGTAACAATGGGTGCATGGTAGGTAACAATGGGTGCATGGTAGGTAATAATGGGTGCATGGTAGGTAATAATGGGTGCATGGTAGGTAACAATGGGTGCATGGTAGGTAACAATGGGTGCATGGTAGGTAATAATGGGTGCATGGTAGGTAATAATGGGTGCATGGTAGGTAACAATGGGTGCATGGTAGGTAACAATGGGTGCATGGTAGGTAACAATGGGTGCATGGTAGGTAACAATGGGTGCATGGTAGGTAACAATGGGTGCATGGTAGGTAACAATGGGTGCATGGTAGGTAACAATGGGTGCATGGTAGGTAACAATGGGTGCATGGTAGGTAACAATGGGTGCATGGTAGGTAACAATGGGTGCATGGTAGGTAATAATGGGTGCATGGTAGGTAATAATGGGTGCATGGTAGGTAACAATGGGTGCATGGTAGGTAACAATGGGTGCATGGTAGGTAACAATGGGTGCATGGTAGGTAACAATGGGTGCATGGTAGGTAACAATGGGTGCATGGTAGGTAACAATGGGTGCATGGTAGGTAATAATGGGTGCATGGTAGGTAACAATGGGTGCATGGTAGGTAACAATGGGTGCATGGTAGGTAACAATGGGTGCATGGTAGGTAACAATGGGTGCATGGTAGGTAACAATGGGTGCATGGTAGGTAACAATGGGTGCATGGTAGGTAACAATGGGTGCATGGTAGGTAACAATGGGTGCATGGTAGGTAACAATGGGTGCATGGTAGGTAACAATGGGTGCATGGTAGGTAACAATGGGTGCATGGTAGGTAACAATGGGTGCATGGTAGGTAACAATGGGTGCATGGTAGGTAACAATGGGTGCATGGTAGGTAATAATGGGTGCATGGTAGGTAACAATGGGTGCATGGTAGGTAATAATGGGTGCATGGTAGGTAACAATGGGTGCATGGTAGGTAATAATGGGTGCATGGTAGGTAACAATGGGTGCATGGTAGGTAATAATGGGTGCATGGTAGGTAACAATGGGTGCATGGTAGGTAACAATGGGTGCATGGTAGGTAACAATGGGTGCATGGTAGGTAACAATGGGTGCATGGTAGGTAACAATGGGTGCATGGTAGGTAACAATGGGTGCATGGTAGGTAACAATGGGTGCATGGTAGGTAACAATGGGTGCATGGTAGGTAACAATGGGTGCATGGTAGGTAACAATGGGTGCATGGTAGGTAATAATGGGTGCATGGTAGGTAACAATGGGTGCATGGTAGGTAACAATGGGTGCATGGTAGGTAACAATGGGTGCATGGTAGGTAACAATGGGTGCATGGTAGGTAACAATGGGTGCATGGTAGGTAACAATGGGTGCATGGTAGGTAACAATGGGTGCATGGTAGGTAACAATGGGTGCATGGTAGGTAACAATGGGTGCATGGTAGGTAACAATGGGTGCATGGTAGGTAACAATGGGTGCATGGTAGGTAACAATGGGTGCATGGTAGGTAACAATGGGTGCATGGTAGGTAACAATGGGTGCATGGTAGGTAACAATGGGTGCATGGTAGGTAACAATGGGTGCATGGTAGGTAACAATGGGTGCATGGTAGGTAACAATGGGTGCATGGTAGGTAACAATGGGTGCATGGTAGGTAACAATGGGTGCATGGTAGGTAACAATGGGTGCATGGTAGGTAATAATGGGTGCATGGTAGGTAACAATGGGTGCATGGTAGGTAATAATGGGTGCATGGTAGGTAACAATGGGTGCATGGTAGGTAACAATGGGTGCATGGTAGGTAATAATGGGTGCATGGTAGGTAACAATGGGTGCATGGTAGGTAATAATGGGTGCATGGTAGGTAACAATGGGTGCATGGTAGGTAACAATGGGTGCATGGTAGGTAACAATGGGTGCATGGTAGGTAACAATGGGTGCATGGTAGGTAACAATGGGTGCATGGTAGGTAACAATGGGTGCATGGTAGGTAACAATGGGTGCATGGTAGGTAACAATGGGTGCATGGTAGGTAACAATGGGTGCATGGTAGGTAACAATGGGTGCATGGTAGCTAACAATGGGTGCAGGTAATAATGGGTGCATGGTAGGTAACAATGGGTGCATGGTAGCTAATAATGGGTGCATGGTAGGGGTGCATGGTAGGTAACAATGGGTGCATGGTAGGTAACAATGGGTGCATGGTAGGTAACAATGGGTGCATGGTAGGTAACAATGGGTGCATGGTAGGTAACAATGGGTGCATGGTAGGTAACAATGGGTGCATGGTAGGTAACAATGGGTGCATGGTAGGTAACAATGGGTGCATGGTAGGTAACAATGGGTGCATGGTAGGTAACAATGGGTGCATGGTAGGTAACAATGGGTGCATGGTAGGTAACAATGGGTGCATGGTAGGTAACAATGGGTGCATGGTAGGTAACAATGGGTGCATGGTAGGTAACAATGGGTGCATGGTAGGTAACAATGGGTGCATGGTAGGTAACAATGGGTGCATGGTAGGTAACAATGGGTGCATGGTAGGTAATAATGGGTGCATGGTAGGTAATAATGGGTGCATGGTAGGTAACAATGGGTGCATGGTAGGTAACAATGGGTGCATGGTAGGTAACAATGGGTGCATGGTAGGTAACAATGGGTGCATGGTAGGTAACAATGGGTGCATGGTAGGTAACAATGGGTGCATGGTAGGTAACAATGGGTGCATGGTAGGTAACAATGGGTGCATGGTAGGTAACAATGGGTGCATGGTAGGTAACAATGGGTGCATGGTAGGTAATAATGGGTGCATGGTAGGTAATAATGGGTGCATGGTAGGTAATAATGGGTGCATGGTAGGTAATAATGGGTGCATGGTAGGTAACAATGGGTGCATGGTAGGTAACAATGGGTGCATGGTAGGTAATAATGGGTGCATGGTAGGTAATAA